ACTACCTGGCCTCTGAAGCCCCCAATTACCAACGGAATATAGACACACGAAACCAACAGAATGCCGTAATAGATGTGATTACTGTAGACCGTTCAGTATCTGTACGAGACAAGTACAGAGTTAGAAGAGGTTTTTCTCGATCAACGAAGCCAACGGTCAATCATCTCAGAACCGAAGGGCGTCCGAATTGCATCAGCTACCCTTTTTCCGGATGCGCTGCTTACCATCAACGTTGACGCCAGGTTTACTCTCCCCAGCATCTCCAGACTACTCGTTCGACCCCCACATTCTCCCTTGCAAAGAAAGCAGTTAACGCATGCACCGACTGCAGATCTGCAAACCGGAAAAATGTTTATTTCCTCTTGTCTAGCACGGGCTGAGCGCATGCGGAGAAGTATCCCAGCTACTTACAGCAACGTCAAGGCCGTAAGATCCCCGAAGATCCCCTCNGTCCCAGCTACTTACAGCAAGGTCAAGGCCGTAAGATCCCCGAAGATCCCCTGAGGCAGCGTGGTGAGGATGTTGTCGTACAGGTACCTTCGAGTGCCAAGGGGAGGCCATCAGCGGAACAAGGCAGCCACAAGTTAGCCATGAATTCCCGTTGGATTGTGTACCGACGACGCTTCGAATACTAGAGTAACGGAATATGTTCCGCCCCGTGTTCAAGTGCCAATTACACTGTAGGTCAAGCCCACTGCATGCACAGCGGCCTTCGACAAGCTGTACTTCCGCAGCACTTAATCATCCCCGGCAAGGTTCATCTCACGAGGGAAAATGGCCTGGCGCATCCTCGATATTGGAAGGATGTCTTTGCACACCAAACGCAAACCCACGGAGTTAGGCTTTCCCAGGAAGACAAAAATGGAGTGTTTACGGGTGTCGATGTTGATTACACAAAATGCCTCACATAAGCTTGAGCGCATTTCGGGAAAAAATGGCATGTTTTAATACTTGGATAAATCAACAGTGTACTGTTGCCCCAACCCAAAAAGGGGAGAGGAAACCCTTGCCCGAAAAAGAACGATAGGTGTGACCCACGGAGCCCCGTGTGCCTTGGTCTATCTGGCTCACCCTCGCCTCGGACTCCGGGCACGTCAATACGGTTGTGCCCTTCAGGTGCTTGCTGCCGCACATGCTGATCGCAATGGCCTGGGTACGATCACAACAAACATGCCTGCTTCTGGCTACAACGAAGGCGACGAGTTGGCAGCTGAAACCCGTTCCAGGGTTAGATTGAGTACACCCCGAGCCGGACAAGAGGCTAGGATATGAGGCCAACAGAGCACCATCACGTAAAGGCTCTACGGCGAATGCCAGGAAGCGACAACTGATCCCGATACGTAGCACGATCCTTGGTGCTCACGTTTCCAGCAACGGGCTGGAGGTGGATTCAGACACCCCCGACCTGTTCTACACCCAACTTCCTACCAACTGCTTGCCGCCGCGCTAGTCGGGGTTGAATGGGTCATGGGGACGATTTGTCTGCGATATCCTAGCTCTCCATCGCAAGCTAGCCCCATGCGGAAAAACATTCTACCGACGACCTTGTCCAACAGCTACTTACAGCTCTTCCAAGGCCGTAAGACCCCCGAAGATTCCCTCAGGCAGCATGGTGAGCTCGTTGGAGTACAGGTACCTTCGGGTGTCGAGGGAAGGCCACGAGCGGAGCAAATAACACACATGAGCCGGGATTCAGTGCTTGCTGCCGCACATGCTGATCGCGATGGCCTGGGTACAATCACAACAATCATGCCTACTTCTGGCTACAACGAAGGCGACGAGTTGGCAGCGGGAACACGTTCCAGGGTTAGATTGAGTACACCCCGAGCCGGACAAGAGGCTAGGATATGAGGCCAACAGAGCACCATCACGTAAAGGCTCTACGGCGAATGCCAGGAAGCGACAACTGATCCCGATACGTAGCACGATCCTTGGTGCTCACGTTTCCAGCAACGGGCTGGAGGTGGATTCAGACACCCCCGACCTATTCTACACCGAACTTCCAACCAACTGCATGCCGCCGCGCTAGTGGGGTTGAATGGGTCATGGGGACGATTTGTCTGCGATATCCTAGCTCTCCATCGCGAGCTAGCCCCATGCGGAAAAACATTCTACCGACGACCTTGTCCAACAGCTACTTACAGCTCTTCCAAGGCCGTGAGACCCCCGAAGATTCCCTCAGGCAGCGTGGTGAGCTCGTTGGAGTACAGGTACCTTCGGGTGTCGAGGGAAGGCCACGAGCGGAGCAAATAACACACATGAGCCGGGATTCAGTGCTTGCTGCCGCACATGCTGATCGCGATGGCCTGGGTACAATCACAACAATCATGCCTACTTCTGGCTACAACGAAGGCGACGAGTTGGCAGCGGGAACACGTTCCAGGGTTAGATTGAGTACACCCCGAGCCGGACAAGAGGCTAGGATATGAGGCCAACAGAGCACCATCACGTAAAGGCTCTACGGCGAATGCCAGGAAGCGACAACTGATCCCGATACGTAGCACGATCCTTGGTGCTCACGTTTCCAGCAACGGGCTGGAGGTGGATTCAGACACCCCCGACCTGTTCTACACCGAACTTCCTACCAACTGCTTGCCGCCGCGCTAGTCGGGGTCGAATGGGTCATGGGGACCATTTGTCTGCGATCTCCTAGCTCTCCATCGCAAGCTAGCCCCATGCGGAAAAAAATTCTACCGACAACCTTGTCAAAACAGCTACTTACAGTGATTCCAAGGCCGTGAGACCCCCGAAGATTCCCTCAGGCAGCGTGGTGAGCNCACGTAGAGGCTCTACGGCGAATGCCAGGAAGCGACAACTGATCCCGATACGTAGCACGATCCTTGGTGCTCACGTTTCCAGCAACGGGCTGGAGGTGAATTCAGACACCCCCGACCTATTCTACACCGAACTTCCTACCAACTTCTTGCCGCCGCGCTAGTCGGGGTTGAATGGGTCATGGGGACGATTTGTCTGCGATCTAGTAGTTTTCCATCGCAAGCTAGCCCCATGCGGAAAAACATTCTACCGACAATCTTGTCCAACAGCTACTTACAGCTCTTTAAGATCCGTTGTGTTGCCGAAGATTCCCTCAGGCAGCAGGGTGAGCTCGTTGGAGTACAGGTACCTTCGGGTGCCGAGGGAAG